TTTGGTCTCTTTCTACTATAAGGTCCCGCACTGTTTTTTTTAACTATATCTTTTTATTTAGCTAATAATCATAATGATCTGACTTTCATTGATGTTTTATTAATAATTTTAGTGGTTATGTTAGGAGAATTAAGTGTAATGAATAGATATAAATAGATATAAATAGATTTTTTTTTGAAGTAAAATCAAATGTAGTCTACTTAAAGTTAATAAATGCTAACAAACCAAATTTTATTACCATTTATTGGGATCGAGTATATATGCTTTTAATTATGCATTATACAGCATGTTGATTTTGTTGATTAGCATTTAGACAGTATTCATATTATTATAGATCAATGCAAAAAAATATTGAGGATTTCTAGAAAAAATTTTAGATTTTCACTCTACTAACCTAACCAGGATATGAGAACTGATTACATAAATTTGTATGGCCATAACAATAATATGGCAGTATATCCCAGACCTATATAAGTCGCGCCCATCAAGTCCATCCATGTCTAGTAACAATTCACTAAACTAAAAAAAAAAAAAAAAAAAAACAAAAAAAAAGTTAGTTCTAAACAAAAAACAAAGTCACATTGGCCACTGCCTACTACCACATAGAGTACCCTCTTCCACCAATGAGATCGCTAGATTCGTAACTAGTACCCGGTACTATTCAATTTTAAAAATGAAGTTCTTGAATAAGATCTAGGGTACTGTAGGCAGTGGCTAACAGTAAAAGAAAAAACTCTGGTACTTATCATTTGACCATCCTGTCTAAGCCGCTATTATAATGCAGAAGTCCTCTACTTACGAAAAGTAGCAAGAGTAAATAAAAAAAGAATCACCACTGATACTTATACTAACATATAATGTATCCAGCCGCAATTTTAACGATTTCAAGTCCAGAGCCGATTATACTTGTGAAGATAGAAAGAAAGAAATCAATAAATAAAGAAAGAAAAAAGAATCACCATCAGTACTTACTTGAACGTATCCAGCCACAATTTCAACAATTCCAAGTTTAGAGCAATTCTATTTACAAAAAAGGGTGAAGAAAAATAAATTAATCAATGATAAAACAAAAAAAAAGAATTACCACCAATACTTACCCAAACGTCAATTTCAATGATTCCAAGTCCAGAGCCGATTCTAGCTAAAGTTTCATCATACTCAATA